CACAAACTATTATGGGATGGGGTTACCATAGTAAATGAAAGTTCACACAGGAAAGAGCAATCAGGCTCAACAAAAACAACCACCATGGGTAGTAGTAACCCAGACAACCACACATCTGAAGGTCAGAGACAAGAAGCTGCAACTTTCAGGAATTCCACAAAGGAAACACACCACCTTCTAAACTGGAGAAACTTAACAAATATGGAGTTGCTAAAGTTAACAATACTTACAACCAATACTCATGATTCCCACACATAATAGTTTGGTCTTTTCCTTTAAAAGGCTGATGCTTGCCTGCAATAAACATCGCCTTGATCAGACTCTTGTCTTGGCGTCCTTCCTTTCTCTCTGCCCCATCTCCACCCCGCTGCTCTTTCAGGTTTGAGACACTGCTGGACAGTGCTCTGTGTTGCTGGCTCGCGACAGTCAACCTTTTCACATGGCCTGTGGTGGCCTCTTTAGCCCCTGCTAAGCTAGACATATCCCCTGTGTTTCCTTTTGGTATTAGTTGACACATGGTATTGACTTGTGGACAATCCAGGCCGTGGTCTCAGAAAATGCACCATTCTCTGGATATATCTAGTTATGTCTTTACAGTTCTGTTCAGGATGAACATGGTCGCTAAAATATTCCACAGGTCACACTGGTGTGGGACTGCATCACAGCAGCAAGAGAGCTGGATACCCAGGAATTACCTCAGAACCCAAGCCCAGGTGTTCTTGCCCCCACAGTTCTTCATTAGGAAGTGCTAACTTCCCTTTGGGACTGCGACAGACACTTTATGTGAATCTCCTGTTGCCTTTCAACTATTTTTAGTGTTTCTTCAAAATGTTTTAGTTCTTTTATCCCTTAAAAATTAAGACAAAAATGTTTTAAAAGCTAGAGAGGAAAGAAATGTTAATTACAAAAGACCTGTTTGAAAGACAGTGAATTTCTTAGTCCCAACTGACCCTGTACAGCCTCTCATGGGTCCCTGTCAGTGGGGATCTGGCTTCCACCCAGTAGAGGACTGGCACAGACAGATAGGGCCATCCTACCAGGGACAGGTGCTGGGCCACTCTGTCCTTGTCAAGGGCAAGGAGGTGTCAGAAAGCGTGTGGCCATGCCACCTAGAGAAGGTGCGATTCTGTGGCCACTGGATGAAACCCATCGCTGCAGAGCAGAGTGACACTACCTAAAACACCAGCCTCGCTTTCCCACTTGGGTCAACATTAGACACAGTGAGGACTACACCATGATTTCTCCTGACCCTCAGAGACTGGCACCCTAAGGGAGTGACTTCTCCTGGAAATTACATGGTTCCTCTCTCCTTAAGAATCTGCCAGACTCACCCACTGAGATGTCATTGGAGAAAATGAGAGACCTCCACCTGGAAGAAAAATACCTGGAAACCAAGAACGTGAACAGCATCCTCATGACCAAGCTGATCAGCGACAACTGGGACAAGATCTGGAACTTCCAGGCAAAGCCAGATGACCTCCTCATTGCAACCTATGCAAAGGCAGGTAGGTGTGATGGCCCAGCAGAGGGGACATCACTGTCATTGTCTCAGCAGACAAGCCTGAAATGGCCCCTAACTCAGAAATGCAGGTTTCCCCTGGAGGGCTGGTCCCAGAAAGATGATAGAACCCCTGTCCATGGCTCCTTGCCTGCACCAGACTCCCTTTTGTATGTGAGTCTCTGGGGGAGACCCAGAGGGAGCAAATCCTGCAGCCCTAGGGGCTGGGAAGTGATGAAGAGTGTGGGATACAGGGCTGACATGGCTGCAGGTCCCCACAGTGGACCCTGGTCCCTTTGCTGACTCTGTACTCAAGGCCTGGTGATGGTCCTGGGGAGTCCAGACCCAGTTGGGGCACCACAAGCTAGGCCCAAAGGGAGGTGGCATTCAGCAGAGTCTCAAGGAGCTCGCAAGACAGCAAGTTCTGGACAGGGACACACTTCGAGGTTTGTGCAGAGTGGAAGAACGGCAATGTCACTCCCACCCCACACAGTGGCCCAGTGAGGGAAGAGCTTTGACTGAACCCACCTTGGTAGCCCTGGATGCAGCAGGGGAGCTGGGTACACATGGGGTTCCAGGGCACGCTGGAACACAATGGGGAGTCTTCACCACACTCAAAGCTGCATAGCCCCAGGCCCAGCCTCTCCCCACTTGCTCCCTTCCAGGCTACAGGCTGCCTCCCCCCAGAAGCTCCATATCTGTTCCTGCCCTGCCTCTCCTGGCAGAGCTTCCCCGACCCTGGCAGTGGCTCCCCCAGTACCTTGCAGTCTCTGCAGCCTTTCCTGCACCTGCTTCCCATTCACAGCGATTGCTCTTCCTGGTGGTGTTTTGGGTTTTCTGTTCCTTGCAGCCAAACTGAGGTTTTGGGTCTTGGGGTCCCCCAGAACCCCTGGGGTAAAGACTTGCTCCTCAGTACTATAAGTATGTAGTGGAGCTTCTAGGAGGGGTCAATGCCAGTTCTCTAGGCCCCTGGGAGGGTGTCTCACACACACACACACACACACACACACACACACACAGAGGGACGGCAGTCCCCAGCCTGCTTCATGCTCTTTTGCCTCCAACACTGATCTGATGGCTTTGTCTGCCTCATTCCTCTCATTGCTGCCTGTGTATACAACACAGGCCCAGAAGTCACAGGGCCACTCTGGCTCAGGCTGGAACCCCAAACCAAGCCAAAAGAATCCTTTTCTTCCATAGCTGGGTCAGCTCAGGTTTTTGCTGAGTGTAAAAAGATGGCTGACAGAGCAGCCTGTGACAAAGCCATGTTTTGGGGTCTGTATTTAGTGGGGCTTTCTCAGGCTAGAGAGAAGGGCAGACAGCCTCTTGCAGTGCCATGGCAGAAGTGAAAGACACTGTCCCAAGTGAGATAGACCAGACACACAAAGACATAAACACACAGTACTTCTCTCTGCAGAAGCAGAAAGCTGACTGCTAAGAAACAGAGTGGAGCAAAGGTCATGGGGGCCAGGAAGCCAGGCTGAGGAAGGTCAGGTGACAAGAACCAAAGACCAGTGAGGCAGAGGTGACCCTGGTGCCCACAGCACAGCAGTGACCATGGCTCACGACGACCTCATTGTATGTTTCATGATGAACTAGAAGAAGGGAGTTCAAAGAGTCCCAATTCAGAGAACTGGCAAGTAATTAAAGTTCAGAGGTACAAATGCTAATTACTGTACCTTGATTCCATGATTACATGTTGTACACATGTACAGAATCACAGCACTGTACCCATGAGTGTGCACAATTAAAAATAAATATCTTTAAAGTTTTTAAAGCCACATTCCTGTGCATTCTGCTAGCAGCTCGTAAGAGATTGTGGACATGATCCAGAATGATGGGGATGTGCTCATGTGCCAGCGTGCCAACACATTCGACAGGCACCCCTTCATCGAGTGGACACTGCCCCCGCCCCCTCAGCTCAGGTGAGTGACGGCCACACCAGCCCTTGTTACCGAGAGGGAACCCTGGCCATGTCAGCCTTCTAGAGAGATCTCTAGGTGGGTGTGGGGAGGAGAAGGCAACCCAGGTCCACGTGAGCAGGTGAAAGACACCAAGTGCCTTTCCTAAAATACAGGACTTTGTGGCATGAGATAGACACCACCTGCTTTATGGTGCTTGGGAGTGGCCAGAATTCACAACTCCAGGGAGTAGTGCTCCATTTGGGTCTTGGGGTCCCCCAGAACCCCTGGGGTAAAGACTTACTCCTCAGTACTATAAGGATGTAGTGGAGCTTCTAGGAGGGGCCAATGCCAGGTCTCTAGGCCCCTGGGAGGGTGTCACACACACACACACACACACACACACACACACACAGGGACGGCAGTCCCCAGCCTGCTTCATGCTCTTTTGCCTCCAACACTGACCTGATGGCTTTGTCTGCCTCATTCCTCTCATTGCTGCCTGTGTATACAACACAGGCCCAGAAGTCACAGGGCCACTCTGGCTCAGGCTGGAACCCCAAACCAAGCCAAAAGAATCCTTTTCTTCCATAGCTGGGTCAGCTCAGGTTTTTGCTGAGTGTAAAAAGATGGCTGACAGAGCAGCCTGTGACAAAGCCATGTTTTGGGGTCTGTATTTAGTGGGGCTTTCTCAGGCTAGAGAGAAGGGCAGACAGCCTCTTGCAGTGCCATGGCAGAAGTGAAAGACACTGTCCCAAGTGAGATAGACCAGACACACAAAGACATAAACACACAGTACTTCTCTCTGCAGAAGCAGAAAGCTGACTGCTAAGAAACAGAGTGGAGCAAAGGTCATGGGGGCCAGGAAGCCAGGCTGAGGAAGGTCAGGTGACAAGAACCAAAGACCAGTGAGGCAGAGGTGACCCTGGTGCCCACAGCACAGCAGTGACCATGGCTCACGACGACCTCATTGTATGTTTCATGATGAACTAGAAGAAGGGAGTTCAAAGAGTCCCAATTCAGAGAACTGGCAAGTAATTAAAGTTCAGAGGTACAAATGCTAATTACTGTACCTTGATTCCATGATTACATGTTGTACACATGTACAGAATCACAGCACTGTACCCATGAGTGTGCACAATTAAAAATAAATATCTTTAAAGTTTTTAAAGCCACATTCCTGTGCATTCTGCTAGCAGCTCGTGGAAGTTTGTTTTTCCAAATATATTTTATCTATAACCTGCCTATCAATGTATCATTATTAAAGAAGTAAAATTAATAAAGTAAATAATCACTGGTCATTGCTCCTAGAGAACACAACCCTATAGTAAGAAGGCAAAGACTTCAGAATCCAACAGTCCCCAGAAATGCTGGCCTGAATCTTAGTTGGATGCACAATCAACCAATTAAGCCTCTCAAAACATGATTTTTTTATTATAAAATAATTCCTAATATGTATTGAAAATCTATTATTGATTAAGCTATTATTCTAGCAACATTTATTGAAAAGCTTATCTTTTCTCATATTGAATTGCCTTAGTACTTTAGCCAAAAATCAATTAACAGTATATCTATTGCATGTTTCTGGATTTTCTATTATATTTTTGTTATGTATCTATCTTTACGTCAATATTGCATGTAATGCTAGTATCAGATGCTTGGTTTTTGTTTCTTTTTTGGTTTGGTTTTGGTTTTTTGAGGCAGGGTCTTGCTATATAGTTCAGGCTGGCCTCAAACTCACAGCAGTCCTCTTGCCTCACCCTCCTGAGTGCTGGCATAATTGCTTCTGTTTTATAGTAAGTTTTAAAATTAAGTTATAAAGTTCTTCTAAATTTGCCTTCCCAGTAATGGCTCAGCTATTCTAGAGCCTTTGTATTTTCATATAAATTGTAGAAACAATGTCCTGTTCTTAGTTTTGCATTGGCTGCAGTTTCTGTTTCCCATAAGTGGTTGCTGGATATTTAGCATAGGAACACTCATGATTATTACATTTCATTGATAAAATAATGTTACTATAAAGTAACGCTCTTTGTCTCATATGATGCTTTTGGGATTAACCCTTCCTTTATCTGACAACATGCATCACATTTCCATCTGCTAATCATATCCGTTCATTCTTTTACTTTTACCCATTATTGAACATTGTGAGTTAGAAGGGCCTCGAGTAGGCTGCATAGAATGAAAACTCTTAAATGACTTAAGAGTCCCTCACATGTGTTGCTGTGACAGACGTCACTGCTGTTGGCATCTGTGTCTCTGATGAGGAGCACGTGCTGATCACCCAGACTTCTGCCCAGGTCTGGATCTAGCAAATGAGATGCCATCCCCCAGGATGCTGAAGACCCACCTGCCTGCCCAGCTGTTGCCACCCTCCTTCTGGAAGGAAAACTGCAAGGTAAGGAGAGCCAATCCTCCAAGCCCTGCATTCACCAGCACAGCCAGGAAGGGTCCCTGCCTAAGTAGCAATGGGCAAGGATGCAGAAGAGAAACAAGTAGTGGACCCCAGAACACACACATCTACCAAGACCCACCTTCCCTTCAGAATATGAGCCTGGGTACACACTGGGACATGTGGGCCAAGTTATTCTGCTTGTCTACCAGCATCACCTTCAAACTGAGTGCTGGGTGAAACAAAGAAGGTGTGATGGCCAAGATTAACCTGATTGTCTGGGAAACCATGAGGGACTAGAAAAGCACACTTCTGGATATGTCCAGGCAGGTCCTGGATCTGTGACCTTGGAGTCTATGAGGTCCCTGCCCCTTCCCTATGCTTTTCCCTTGTTCTGTTCTCTGGCTGCCAAGAAGTGAGCAGCTCTGTTTCACTACACCTGTTCACCATGATGTCCCTGCCTTGGAGCCAACCAACCACGGACAGAACCCTCTGAATCTGTGAGCCGAATAAACCTCTCCTCTTTTAAGTTGTGGGTGTTGGGTAATTTTTCCCAGCAATGGGAAAGCTGACTGATAAGCAGGTGTTTCCTGAGCAATATTGGTGTCTTAGTATGGATCCCCTAAGAAGCAGGGCCAGGAGGATATGGCTATGAAAGATACCCACTTTGGGGACTACCACAGAGAGGTAGGGCAAGACAAAGGGGGCTGGAGACAAGGGCAGTAAGAAATACGGGAGACATGGGCTACATGCAATCCTGAGCAAGGCTCCCCTAAGCCATCGTCAGAGAACTGCTGCCTGCCTCACTCTCTTTGTTGCACTCACTCAGGAGACCCTTTGGAAATGTAGCTTCACAAGGAGCAGGGCAGTGGGTTCAAAGGTTGACCCTGAGGCCACTCAGTGACCCTCCCCACAACTACAGACTCCATGGCCCTGCTCAGGGCCACCGTTCTGCCCCAAGGAGCCCACATGTACCAGATTTCCAAGTCCCAGCCCTCTTCCTTCCAGGGTGAAAGATTAAAATGATTTTCCCAATAGGTGAAAACTTGGCGCACATTTACAGAGCATGTGCCCATGAAGCAAGCTACCAGTCCTCTACTTCCTCCTGGTCTTAAAACTACATCTTATTCTGATGCTTCCTAATTCAGATTCTATCTATACAGGATAATATTGTGTGTGCTACCATTTCCTTTGGATATCTGCTTCACCAACAAGTCTTGGAATCAGTGAAATACAGATTATAAGCCAAATATCAACTTTAAAACTTGAGGTATGTTAGGCAAGGTAACGCAGGCTTTTAATCCCAGCACTCTGGAAAGCTGACGCAAAAAGATCACAAGTTCAAGCCCAGCCTGGACAACTTAGCAACTTAGTAAGACTCTTTCTCAAAATATAAAAAATTTTAAAGGGCTAAGGATGTAGCTCAGGATGAGGGTCCTGGGTTCAATCTCCAATAATGCAAAAAATAAGCCATAAAAAGTGCAGCCATGCGGCTGGGGATTTAGCTCAGTGGTTCTGGTGCCTGCCTCGCAAGCCCAAGGGCCTGAGTTCAACCCCCAGTACCAATTAAAAAAAAAAAAAAAAAAAAGGGAAGTGGCATAAAAAGTGCAGCCATGCTGTCAGCAGGACTGGCTCATCTTCGCAAGCTGCCTGGGAAGCCCAGTTATCAGGAGGCTATGGGAGAATGGGTTGAGGTTAAAAAGTGTCTTGCAGCTGTGACAAATGCAGCCTCTCCCCACCTTCTGGACTAGAACCACAACATTCGAGTCCTTTAGCCAGGAACCCTGTCCTTGGAGCAGGGTTCTATACAGAGAGTGAGCTATGGGTCTGACTGTTAGCCGAGTGTCCATGATTTTTTACCTTGCCCACCTCTTCTGTCTATATAGACTGCATCTCAAAACTCCCTACTCGTCCCACTGCCCAATCTTGGTGCAACTCCAGAGGTGACACCCATGTCACCCTGACTGAGGAATTTTCTCAGTCTGTTCCCTTCACTTACACTATGCTGCTCAGGAAACATTGTTATTTCCAAATATTGTGTCAGAAGACACAGGGACCCTCGCTGATTCATCACCCCGATACCTTCTTGTTGTAAAATCAGGTCTTCTTTCCCCTCTGCCCCGCCCCCCCGGCCAGGTATCAAACTAAGGACCTTGCACTTGCAAAGCAGTTGGTGGCACCACTGAGCTAAATCCATGGCCCAAAATCAGGTCTTCTAAGGCATATAAAATCTCAATGGCAGCACCTCCCTATGTCCACCTAGGTTTGTGAGTTCTGGAGCAGAAAGTAGTATGAGACTGCTGAGCCTATTTTCCATATTTTGATGGCATGGTGGTCTAAACCATGGTGCCAAAAATTGTCCACATCCAGATCAGCCAATCTTGGGATGTCACTCCTAAACTTGCCCCTTACAAGTGTGACTGAGTTGAAGGTCTTGAGATGGGTGATTATCCTGGGTTGCCTGGGGCATAGCCCCACCACAAGGGTCTTCATTAGGAGGAATGAGGCAGAGGAGGACATAGGAGATGTCAACACTGAGGCAAGGTCCCCACATGAGTCTAGGAAAGGATCCAGAGGACTGCAGGTGATTTCAGAGGCCAAAAGTGAGATGGAAATGAGTGCCCCATACAGCCACCATAAGAACCCAGCCAATGAAGCCTGGCCTCCAGAAATGTAAGAGAATCTATGTTGTGTTAAGCCACAGTTTTCATGGTAATTTGTTACAGCAGTAATTGGAAACTAATACAGATCAATAGACTTTAGGAAATTGTACCTGATGGTGGACCTCACACCACAATTTGTTTGGGTATGTTTCTGGTCTATCCCAAGATTTTCCATTTCCAGTGACAGAGGCCTTGAAAGCAATAACCAACATAAGAATTAGGAAACATTATGCATAACACACTTATACAGTAAGAAAATTCTGCTGTTGCCACATATTTCTTGGGCGCCTAAGTGTTTTTATAAACATGGTACAGAAATCCAGCTGCAAGGAGAAGGGTAGAGAAACAGAGTCTCACAGAGCTGAGTGAAGGGTAGTGGGGATGCAACTGGGGAGGCAGGAGTGGGGCCACTCACCAAGAAGAAAGACCCTGGGTGACAGGCTGGCATGTGAGAAGCTGGAGAAAACCATGTCAATCTGTTGTGTTACTGCAGCAAAAGCCCTGACTCAGGTGCCTTATGAAGTAAGGGAGGTTCATGTTACCTCAGGGTTCTGAGGTCAACTCCAAGATGGGACTTTCACTGGGCCTTTTATGGCAGAGAGGGATGCGAAAGAACCAGGTCACATCATCCCCTCTGAGGCCCCCTTCCAGGTAACTCAGAGACCTCCCTCTAGGACTTGCCTCCTACAGCTCCACAGGGTCCCCAACAGCCAGCCCTGGGGACCACACCTTACACAGGGCCCTGGGGACAGCATAACATTCAACCACACCCAGGCAGAAAACAAGAACCCTGAACAGCTGGAATCCTAAGGAGAAGGGGCAGCAGGCATGAAGCCAAGGTCCATTATCATTCACCAGCCCAGCCTAGGCCTCTATGGGAGAAGACCCTACCACTAACATCCACACAAGGACTCAGCACTGCCCCAGGGCCTTGATCTCATCCGCCAATGAAGAGTAGGAGCAATGCCCCCCCCCAAAGGCTGAAGTCAACTCTTGGAATGACACAGGCAGACTCACTGCTGCCTGGGCTCCTCCCAGCCCATAACTCTTTGCTAACAGATGCCTCACTTAGCAGAACTGGGAGACCTTCGTTTCATAGGCTGAAAACCACCATATCTTGTGGTCTGAATGCAGTGTCCCCAGATTCATCCTAACGGCACAGTAGGTAGGATCTTTAGGAGGTGACAGTACACAGGGTGGGGCCCTCCTGGATGGGACCAGGACACATGAACATGGCCATCTATGAGGCAGCAGCCCTTGCCATGTGCCAAACCTGCCGACACCTTGGTCTTGTACTCTCTGGCCTCTGGAATTAACTGCACAAAGCAGATCTCTGTTGCTTTTAAGGCCCCAGTAGTTGGTGCTTTGGTAGGCAAGCATAGTGGCCACAGGTGAGAGCCACATTTACCAGGTAACTTTCAAGACAGAAAATAGTGACAATGCTAAGATCACAGCTAAAAATCAGAACATTTCTGGCAACTGGAAAATGTGGCCTCTGGGGCTGAAAGCACCTGCATATCTGGTCCAAATTCCACAGAAGGTTTCCTGAAATCAGGCACCTCTGCCCTGACTAATGATGTCTCTGTCTTGTTTTCTGTCTTTGTTGGCCAACTCCAGATCATCTATGTGGCGAGAAACGCCAAGGACTGCCTGGTGTCCTACTACCATTTCTCCAGGATGAACAAGATGGTGCCTGACCCTGGCACATGGGAGGAGTACATCGAGGCCTTCAAAGCTGGAAAAGGCAAGTGAAAGAAAACTAGGCTCCTATTTCTCATCATCTCCTACATCAGGAGAGAAGGCATCCATTCAACGACTGGGTCCACTGAGGTCCCATGTTCCTGAGGATGACACACTCCAGGTCACTGGGAAGACTCAGTGGAAGAGTTTAGGGGAAACAACCACGGCTGGTAGAGGTTTTGGGAGGAGACCCAGACCCTGGAGATAGGAGAGGTCCCTTCAACCTCAACAAGAGGCAAGGCCTCTAGTGGGAGTCACATCAACCACAGTGAGCACACGGAAAATTCCGGAGTTCACACCCCATCCCTACACTCCTCCTCCCCCCTGGCCACCAAGTCCAGCCACATGTAAGGGCAGTGACAGTCTGCAGGCAGCTGGCAGCCATGGGCAAGGTGGGCAAGGAGGAAGGTGGGGTCAGTGCCAGGAGCACCTGTCCCTCCCATGGCCACCCCAGACCTGGCCATTTCAGGTTTTCAAAGTGAGAGTCTCTTCCAAATCACTCTGCTAAGAAACAACATCTACTGCATGACAATGATCTATGCACTGTGTGATGTGGGAGGAAGATAGGGATTCCCAGCCTAAGGACATGAGACAGTCCCTCATGGAGAAGTAGGTTCAGAGTGGGATACAAATTGAAGAATCCAGAATCTTTGTATCAACTTCCTACTTTAAAAACAACAACAATAACAACAACAACAAAAACCTGTCTTCTCAAGCAAGAGTTCTTCTCTAATCTTTGCCTTTACTAACTGTTCTCTTTATTTGAGCCAGCCGTGCTCATGTGGCAAGTTTTGATCTGGCCCTGATCGCCATCTCTCTCTCTCCCCCTCAGTGCTGTGGGGCTCCTGGTATGACCATGTGAAGGGCTGGTGGGCCGAGAAGGATCAGCACCGCATCCTCTACCTTTTCTATGAGGACATGAAGGAGGTGAGGCTGTGCAGCCCCCTGTAACCTCTCCCATCCCAGGGCATAAAGATCTCAGCAAGGTCCTTAGAGCATGGGCCAGTCCTGAGTAGAAACTTCAAGATGCACCCTAACCTCCTGGGCATTTCTAGCTCAGCTTTATCCCAGGAACTCTCACCACTTTCTTGGCCTTTGCTACTTTCCAGAGATCCTTTTCCTCAGGAAAAAGCCTGCATCATCCAGTCAACCTATCAGATCCTGACATGTATGAGCCTTGTTGCTATAAATGGCATCATGTCTCTCTCAGGAGGTTATTGCACAGAGTTGTGCAATCATATTTGTAAAGTTGTGCTCAATAGGAGGGGTCTATCTCCCTCAGCCACACCTGGAACTCCTTTTCCTAGCAGAACTTTAGCCTGTACACACATCGGCCCTACACACTGGGACACAGGACAGGCCCCTCCCCTGGCCACGGGAGAGGCTGTGGGTGAGTGGCGTCACAGATTCACTCCCAAGACCCCACAGAGCAGAGTCCCAGATTACAAAGGTGTCTCCTATGCCAACACTAAGAAGTCCTCTGAACCGTAATCAGAAGCTATCACTCCTTGTCTTTTTGTCTCTTTTATCAGAAAGAAGCAAAGAACATTATTTCTGGTCACCCTCTTATTGGTCTCCTGTTAAGCTCACAGACACTTTTTTGCCACTTCTGACAACCCAGATACTAGTTCAGCACAATGACCAACACTGTAGCCCCTTCCCTGGGCTCTCAGAAGACCCTTCCCCAGACCTGCCCAGCTCTGACAGCAGGAAGTATAGGCTATCTCTGCTGGGACTCACATGGTTCCCCTCTGACAGAGTAGGTGCCCAGTGGCAAGAACAGTCCTGATCTTTCCTGCTGCTGTGTCTGGGGCAGCCCTGAGCCTTGCACTGGGACCTCTTGAGAAATATTTGCTGACAATGTTTGAATTATCCCTTAGCACATCCCTCCCCAAATAGAACATCCTCCCTGATGGGGAACCAAAAATTACTTGTTTTGTTTAACTGTTACACATGTAGGATCCAAAGAGGGAAATCCAGAAGATACTGAAGTTCCTGGAGAAAGACATAACAGAAGAAGTTCTGAATAAGATCATCTATCACACCTCCTTCGACGTAATGAAGCACAACCCAATGGCCAACTACACCACCCTCCCCACCAGCATCATGGACCACTCCATCTCCCCTTTCATGAGGAAAGGTAAAGGGGTTGGCATCCTAAGAACCAGGCACAGATTTGGGGTGCTGGTGGCTGCTGAGATTCTCCCTGACCTTTGTGCTCCTCCGCTTGTTCTTGTTGGCAGCACCACTGCACAGCTTTTCAGAGGTACCTCCCTGTTTCCTCCCATCCTCCCCTGCTCCTTCTGCTCTGTCCTTCCACCCATGGTGGTCCTCAGGTTGCATGCCCACTCCTCCTCATGCTCCTGCAGCAACTGCTGAGTCTTGACTTCCTTCAGGGATGCCTGGGGACTGGAAGAACCACTTTACTGTGGCACAAAGTGAAGAATTTGACAAGGACTACCAGAAGAAGATGGCGGGGAGCACCCTGACCTTCCGCACAGAGATCTGAGGGCCACTGGGGCAGGACAGTTCTGCCCTAGGCTTTGTGGACCCCTTCCTCCATCCTGTGCCATCCGCCCATAGTTCCTGAGCCACTGCTATGACAGTGCTTCCTCTTGTTGTGACCAGCCTCTGGGAGACATTCCCAACTGAATTAGAGATCAGCCCATAGACCCCAGCCCAGGATGGTGTGCCTGCCTGACTTAAGCAAAATAAATGAAAATCAGCTCCACTGTTCATCTACAATTGTCTGGTCTCTCTGAGGCAAAACTCTTGAAGAGAGAGATGAGTAATTTCCACCCAAGAGCCCAAGTGCAGGGATAGCATTGCAATGAGATATGGTGTGAGTGTGGTTTCATTCTGACACTTTCGGGCACAGTTTCCAGGGCTGGGAGGTCCCAGGTTGGAGGACCACCTGGTCAGGACTTTCTAGGCCCTCAACCCACATAGAAAGGGGGAGGGGGCCAAACTCACCTCTGTCAAAAACATTCCTCAGTTTCAGCATTGGCCTGGGCCCATCTGTGCTAGACTGACAGCTCCTATATCCTCCACGAGCAGATTTGCAATGCAGTCCATAGACAGGGCAGAGGCAGAAAACAGTAGTTCTTAGCAAGCATGTTCCCAGAGGAGCAGCACAGCACATGAAACCAAGCTGACCCTTATAGTCAGGATGGGACAATGGGAGAGGTCCAGGCGGCAGAGCCAGAGGAGAGGGGGCAGCCACCAGTAATAAAAGTTCACCCACGAGAGGAGTAGACAGTGTCAAGCAGAGACGGCCACCCAGAGAAGGACACACAGAGACACAACAGAAAGTCCAGGGTGTTAGCTTTTATTTTCACAGAACTAGGGAAGTGGTCAGAGCAGTAACTAACAGGGCTTCTTTCCACTCAACTGTGTTTCCACCCTTGGGGGGCACCTTTAACACTTACAGGGTCTTAGTCTCAGAACAAGCATTAGAGGGACTAAAGCAACCATGCTAATGTATGCAAATGAGGCCTAAATGGGCGGGCAGAGTCACCTGAACTCAGCTTGGGCCTGAGCCCTCAGGGGTGACATCTTTGGCTCTAGAGATTGAAGGTATAGAGGAGCTCGATAAGCCTCCTCAGGATCCCATGGATCCTTTCAGAGAAGGTTGAGGCCACAGCTCAGGCCATGTAGTCTACTGTCCTTTTGTAGAATTTCCTCCCTAGGCCCAGCTGCCTCCCAGTCCCACTCATTCTCTAATGATTCTTTCATCAGCACCCCTTCAAAGTACTCAGGTGCAGACTGCACTGAGGAGAACATTGATCCTGAGGCTGATTCCCCCTCTTAGGCTCTGCCTCCCTACACATTGCCATAGGGCGACCTCAGAGGTCACATCTAACTGCAGCTTGGTCATGAGAGAGACTGGACGGCAGGCACCCAAAGGTTACATGGAGTGTGGCATCCAGTGAGACAAGCTGGTCCCACAACCACAGAAGGTCACTGCAGGCCACAGAGCAAGTAACTGGAATTGGGCTGTGACCAACACAGGCCGGAAGCAGAAGAGGAGTTTATACTTGAGATAGGTTTCTTAGAGAGAGAAAAGGGGTTGAACATTAGCCCAAGGGGAAAAAAAATATTCAGTATCTCACGTATTTTAAGAAAAAGTTTAATTAAAAAACTTGAGTCTCTCATCTTTCCAAAAAAATCTTTGTTCGTACTTCTTTAAAAAAAAGAAAAGACCCCTAGCAAAATTGTCAGCATTGCCAATTTGGTCAGCTACATGTATAATCCTGTTGTTTCCTTGTCCTTTTATTGAAATCTGTGTAAAGAAAGTGTGTGCTGTCATTTACATAACTGTGCAAAGACCAGTGCATTGTTTTAAAGGAGCATCATGAAGGTATGTTGTGTGGGAGGGGGATTCCCTGTACCACTAAAGCATACCGATAATAATCTCCTCTATCAAGAACAAAGCTTGGCCTATGGTATTCTTTCCCCTGTCCTAAGATGTGGGTAGTGAACCATGTAACAAACTACCTAGCAATGTGGTCTGTAGGCAGTGCTGAGCTGAACCAGCAGACTACATGGCAAGCTACTGTCAGAGTCCCAACACCATGTGTCCAGGTCCAGCACAGAGCCACCGGGAACTGTCACAGTGCAGCGGGACCCCATATCTGCTCCTTCCTGAACCAGTGTGGACTGGGTGCACAGCAGGTATTGGTGAGGACGCTGGCAACATGTCTGCAGCTTTCAACTAGGTGAAACTTGGCCTTCCTTCTTTTCCAACTCTAAAATTCTTTTACTTTAATTGTAAGAATGAATTCTAAAAGTATGGTCTTCAAAATTTTTGAAGTATTTCTGAATTTTTCTCCTTAAAAGCTCTGTTATGTCCCCTTAAACAATATTTGAAGCACCATAAAGAAGAGCAAATGGTTTAATTCAATTCTAAAATATCTGCGGCCCTAGCCCTATGAAATGATGTTGGGGACAAGGGCAGTCTGTGTACCCCAGCTAATCTGACATCCTGTGAAGTCATGAGTACACACAAAAGAACCTTTGTCCTAATCATGTGATACACATTCACACACTCCCTTAAGTAGATCAGTCATGGGAGATCAGACTGTATATGTTTAAGGAAAACATTTCACAAACACTCACTTAGAAGGAGATAAAAGGCAGCAATGGGAAGTTAGAATCACAGAATTTTAGAACAAGAATTGGAAGAATCAGAAAGATCACAACTCAGCAATCTCCTTCTTGGGATGAGAAAACCAGAGCTAGGGTAAGTGGTGGCCTGGATGCTCATGTTGGATACAGTTGAATCAGAACCTTGGCCCTGGGCTCAGGGGCCATGCCCATTGTATTGGAATCATACAGGATATAAATGTCTCCTCTTTAGGCTAATCTTGCACTTAGACACCTGTTGGCCTTCAGAACAGCACTCCCACATCTCAGTGTCCCATGGATCCTTTCTGATTATAACCAGTCCCAAATTCTCCTAACGAGCAGCTCTGTCCATATGCAGGCTGCATTCCTCTGACCCCAGACCCACCTTGGCCTCACTTTGCTATTTCCTAACCATTGCATCTAACATCCTGCACAAAAGCAAAGCAAGGAGGAGGGTCTGGCAGCTTTTGGTGAGAATCTTGGATCCCCTGGTTAAGCTTCTCCTCCTAGGTCTCTCTGCCTATGTCATCTCTAAGGGACAACACCTGGGACACAATGCTTCCTTGCAGCGATAGCCCCAGCCACATTCTGCTGTTCCCCATGTTGAGTGTATCTTTGGAGAACTCATGGAAGGTGGCTACACCCTGCAAAGCAGAAGTCTGGATTTTAGCACTTTCCCTAAATCTCCACCTTCCCAGGGTGACCATCCTTAACTCAACACCTATGCCCTGCTAGGGGAGAAAGTGAGGAAATCCAGCCTGAGCGTGGTTCAGGTCCAGGCCAGTGAGCAGAGTGTCCAGTGTCTTCTCCTTGAGGAAGGCAGCCAGCCCACTGGCTCCTGCTGGCTCCCACTGGCTCCTGCTGGGCTCCTGCGACTCCTCCAGCTGAACCTCCTGAAGGTGAGTGTGTGCAGAGGGATGCTCTGCATATCCGTTCTGTGAAGACAGATGTCCTGGGTGAGGACTGTGTGCAAGTCCTGAAAGGCTAGATCCCTAAGAATTTCTTTTCTTCTCCCCACAGGCATGGGGAGCCCTGCTACCGAAAGGAGCCTGTGCACTGGACAGGCCTTCCTTTTCTTGAGCCCCAGAGCTCCCAGGGTAGCTGCTCCTCCTCCAACACCCCCCCAAGGTGCCTTCTGGGAAATGGTGTGCATGGCTGGGAGTGTAGACAGATGTCCTGGGTGAGGACTGTGTGCAAGTCCTGAAAGGCTAGATCCCTAAGAATTTCTTGTCTTCTCCCCACAGGCATGGGGAGCCCTGCTACCGAAAGGAGCCTGTGTACTGGACAGGCGTTCCTTTTCTTGAGCCCCAGAGCTCCCAGGGTAGCTGCTCCTCCTCCAACACCCCTCCCAAGGTGCCTTCTGGGAAATGGTGTGCATGGATGGGAGTAGGCGCTGTAGCCCCCAGATGGGTGTGGCCATGTTGGCCATCTGAGCAGGGCTCAGTTGGCAGGTGGTGACAGGAACAGGGCTCCAGCCAGCATGAGCTCCAAAAGGGGCTCTTAGCGGCTACAGACAACACTCCATACTATCAGACCCTGTGACCCCCTGGACTTCTATGGTTAAGGGGTCAGACATACATCAAGAGTGCAGCAGGAAAAACTGAGCTAACTGCTGAGGCTTGTCCAACAACAAGGAGAAAACCCTGAGTCCATGGCGATGTGACCCTCTGAGGTACCAGAGAACACCTGCCCAGCTCTGAGGCAGGCAATGGAAAATCCCCACCCTTACTGTCAGCAGTGGGGCACAGGGGACAGCGGGGTACAGCGGGCTGGGCTGGCCAATGTGAGCTCAGATGCCCTCCCCATCACGTGATGTGCCTATAATCCTGAACTTAGCCATGGCATCTCCAAGATGCCCTTGACTCTAGCACAGTTCCAGATGACCAAGCAGGAGGACTGTGTGCACACAACCAGGAGGGACTCACTAGGGCACAAGCAGGCAGGATAGAGCCAGTGGCCATGCATACAGCACAGTCCATCTTGGCTAGGTCTTGGCAGCTACAGGAACATCCCTCCCAGCAACAGGCACTGGCATCCAGGCTGCTGTCCCCAAGAGCTTCCCAGGGCACTGCCTTTCCTGGGCCTGCACACTCATGCCTCCAGATGCACAGCAGAGCTCTGGGACTGCAGCCCAGGCCCAGAGAGAAGGGCCCTGGGGTGAGAGGAGCACAAGGTGGGGGTGGTAACATTGGGCAGAGCTCCAGCTCCAGGTCCTGGTGTGGACAGGGCCATGTCAGCCCCCGTGAAGAGCTAGCACTCTGAGCAACACTCATGTTCCGCCCACAGGAAGGAGTTCTCCCTTCTGACACAGGGCCAGGCCAGGCCCAGAAGCAGAATCAGTGTGGGGGATGATCTGCTTGCTCTGTCTTTGTCGTGTGTCCATGGGGGGATGTCCCCTCCTCCCCTGCCACACACTCAATCAGGTGGAACAACCAGAACCTCAGCTACAACACTCTGTCCTCTTCCATGGGCAGAGAAGTCCTGAGAAAGGATGTCCCTGCCCAGGACACAAGACCCAGGATGCAGAATCAACACCCAGGTGAGGTACACTGAGACAGGGACCAAGATTTGGTGGCCAGGGTGACCCAAGGGATCCAGGACACATACCAGGACCACAAATTGTACATCTGTCACAGCCAGTAAAGGAAACCTATGGGCTTCAGCTTTGTCTCTGGTGTGTGGTACAGAGTCTGTCAGCCACCCACAGAACTGACATCTTTCCCCAGGTGCACAAGAATGACAGCTTGTTTATGTGGGTCATACCTTTCAATGTTTCCATACTCAAAATTAAAACTGAAAATTATTTGTTTGAGAAAGGATCTCACTCTGTAGTTCAGGCTGTCTTCAACTCACTACATAGCCCAGGCTGGCCTTGAACTCAAAAACTGAGAATTTCTGAAAACATAGGCATACATTCTACTTACTGTGTCACTCTGCTTGTCATAGAAATAATGGCATCAGCCCATATTATGCCACTGTAGAAAGCCCCACTCTACACTTCTGAAAGGATGCTGTGGTTAGTTAGTTGACCTTGAGAACTCCTGATAGGATTTCCTCACCAGCAAGATTTCCAGAGCCTACGCTGGAAATTGCTGTCAATGCTGCAACCCAGCAATACCAGTCTCTGCTGCCCAGGGAGAATCTGCACCGCCATCTCCTCTCCTCATTCCACAGCCTCTCGCCTGGTCTCCTCCTTAGGAGCAGATCCTGAAATGCATTTCCTTTTGGAGATTTCCAAAATGAATCCTTTCTTCCATGTGGTTACTAGTACCTCCTTCATAGTCCTTATCCATTCCGCCTTCTATTATCACTGTCCATGCACTTGTCTTCCTCCTTTCCTGTCCAAATATGCTGCTTTTGCCTTTCAAAAACCAACTCCCCTTCTGCTATCACCATCTTGATTTTGCTCTTGAGAAAGGCCCCTCCCCAAACATACACAGCCCGTGGGATTATCAAGGTGACCACACCACCTAGGCCAAGGGTTATACATAGACCCAAAGTAGTTTAGTCAAATAACCTGCCCTAGAATTCTAATTACAAGCAGAGGTGAAATTTGTCTGGGTCCACACAGCCTGTGCTTGGACCCAGTCACCCAGCAACCCAGGCATTCTGTTCCAGTTCTTTCTCTTTCCTCTCCTCTGCAAGAATTCATGTGCTCCAATAAGGTATATTTGTTCCTTACCTAATCAAGATAAGTTCCTGTTGCTTACAGGCAAATAACTGTTTTTCTTAAATTTTATAAGAACATGTTTGCAGTACATGAAGTTTGCAATCATCTTGGGGAGTGGGTACATGTATAAAGCACAGCTTCCTTTGTTCTGGATGGGGCAAGTTAGAATAGAGTTGTGCCACACTCTGCATCACATTGGAGTCCATTTATTAAAGCGAGTGGCCAAGAGGGAGATAGTGCCTGGAAAGTTCTCTCAATGCTGAATAACAGTTTGATTTCCCCTTTTAAATCATGCTTTCAGTTAGGGAGGGCACAAGGGGAGATAAAGCAGAATTTTACAGAGGCAGAACCATACCAGATTAGTTGGCGGGGGGGACACAAGGAAGTTTCACATATTAGGTGAACTACAAAACATCCTGCAACTGCAACAAGTTTACTGCCAATCACTATGTGGGGGGTTTTGGGTGCTTTTTCTAAGCACAAGTACACAATGATGGTAAGATTCAAGATGGAGTATGGAGAGCCACCCCTTCTTCTGCCCCAGCCACCATCACTCCACCCAGGGAGGTAGCCTGGGCCCCAATCCACTGCGGGAAGGAGAGCCATGCCCCTGAACCTCCATAACTCCCCATACCTCCTGACTGTGCCAGTCTTTGGATCCACTCTGCAGAGGCAGAGGTGGTCATCCAGGGTATTTTTCTGAGTTCTCAACTTTGAACATCTTTAAAGAAAGGGTATAGGAAACCTGTAGGAGAACTGTGTGGAGTTCAACTGTTCAGGAGGCCAGGGAACTCAATCTGGGCCTTGGAGCCCGAGGTCAATCTGCGTCATGGGGTTCTGACATCAGCTAGCTGAGATCAGGGGTCTTGCGTCCTAGCTTTGTCTGAGACCCCATTCTAAATGGGGTCTATATATACTATATAGAAAAGTATATATACTATGTAGAAAAGTTTGTTCACTGCAGACATGTTTTGGACTGCTTCTTGATTTCAATTTAATTCACATGGTTTAAGGGTGATAGACTAGTGACTACCACAGATGGTCAGTTTCCAAGTTGTGCTTGATCATATTGTGTTGCTGATTGTATCAGTTGGGATAAAGGATTGTGGTTGATTTGATGAGCTGTTTTCTCTGATGTTATGAAGATGAGAGTGTCTATGGGTCGTTAGAGATGCAGAAGCTAGGGTGCAACTATATCAGGAAGATTTGGGTGATAACCCAGAGATTAAACTAAGGACAGCCCGACAACCAAACTGAAAATGAGAAAACATTTAAGCAAGACACAAGGACATACTTCCAGTTCACGAATGGCAAAAAGTAGGACAAATGAAGATGAAAAGGCCGATAGTGAACCACCAGGACATCCTGAACTCAAAGCGCAGGAAGTAACAAAACACATCAATCAGGCTCTAGAAAAATTCAAAACAGAAATAATTTCCCAGATAACCATAGAGATGGTGAGCAAAATGAAAGTCATGATTCAAGACTCTAGAACAGAAACTGACAAAAAAATAGATGAGCTCAGCACCACAATAGGAGCCATGAAGGCCCAGCATAAGAAAGAAATGGAAACAATAAACACTCAACATAGGAAAGAAATAGAATCCATGAAAAAGATTCAAACAGGTATCCAGGAGATTAAACATTCCATTGAAAGTGTACACAACAGAATAAAAGCATGCAAAGATAGAATCTCAGGTATAGAAGATAGGATTGCAGTCAGTGACCATGAAAAGAGAAGTCTCTTAGAAACAGTAGGGGATCTTGAGAAATCGATCTAGCAACTCCTAGATGATGCAAAGAAGAATAACTTAAGACTAGGAATTCGTGAAGTAGCAGGAGAAAATACAAATGACTTAAAAAAGCTGTTTGCAGAATGAATGACATAAATCTTCCCAAACAGAGGAGAAGAATTTGACATTCAGATAAGTGAGGCATATAGAACTCCAAATAGCCATGATCAAAAAAAATC